ATACAGATTTGGAAGTCAGTCGTCTTCCCTAGAGATGTAGCACCCCACCTGTGGTCACTTCCCCAGCTGGATGCTCATGCTCACTTGCAAGGTTAGGGTTCTCAGCGGGCAAAGGACTATTACATCCCCCCTACCCAGGGTTCTAGGAGTATCAGCTCCTGAGCACTCCTTGTCCCTTTCCCTACCCAGTGGGTTCCTTAATCATGTATGTCTGGAAACAGGTTTCCAAAGTTCCAGTATAGAAGTGGAATCAGTCAGGGGATATTGCCTTACGTTCTGAGGAAAAGGAAGGGCAAACCCGAGCGTACTCTAAAGGCTAGCCCTTGTTGGCAAGTTCTCCCATTACAGAAATGATTATTAAACCCATGCGAGGTGATGAGACCACAGAGAAACTGCAGAGGAAGAAGGAGATGTAAGAGAGAGCTTTGGGGAATAGCTGCTGGTAGGGATCATGATACGGACGATGAGACAGCAAAGGAAACTGAGGAGTGGTCAGATAGGATGAAAACCAAGAGAAAAGAGTGAAAAGCCAGGGAATGAAGAGAATCCAGCTAGTGAGGGTGGTTAGTAGTGGTAAATGCTGCAGAGAGGTCAAGAAGGATCAAAACTGATGGGACTATCAGATTTGGTGATTAAAACCTCACCAGAAACTTTGGAGAAAGAAGCTTCCCTTTAATGCTGAGATCACAGAGGATCATTGAACTACAGGTGGGAGAACTCTCATTAGCCATGCAATCAAAACCCCTCATTTCACAGATGAGCAAACTGATGCCAAAGGAGGTTAAGTGATTGGCTCAGTCACACAGGTGGTAGACATCAGAGGCAGAATGTGGAAGCAGATCCTGAAAAGAAATCATGAAGAACTGAAGATGGAGGGAGGGAGGGGAGAGGATGTGGAAGCAGTGAGTGTAGAGAGATTTACTTCCCATAATGATGACTTCAAAGGCTCATCTAGAAGCAAGACCAGCGGTCTGGACTTGGGGGTCTGCCACCACTCCTGGGGCTCCCATGTCTATTTGTTAGTGGCTGTTGGCAATCAGCTGTTGCTATTGTCATGAAGAAATTGGGTTCCTTCTCCATGGTGATTCCTCCCCTCAACAATGGCTATTGCGGAATAACTGGAAGGAGGACAAGTGGCCTGGGGGATATTGCTATTCCTGAGGTTCCTGGATTCAGCATCCTGGGCTTTCTCCATTAGGGTCTGAGGGGAGATGATCTAGGTTGTGGTGATGGTCTGACTCTCCCAGGAAGGAAGATACTGAGTCAGGTCCTGAACTTACTGAGAAAAGAAGAATAATCTAAGGGCCAATAGACAACAACCACCATGATCTATATAGGGTTAAATATTTTGATAGTGTGAATTTCAAAGGGGTAAATGTTCCTGAGTGATGGTGACAAATAGAGAGTCTGAAAGTGGCAGGAGGGTTGAGTGTGTTTTCAAGCAGAGGCTGGGTTAGGAATCTTTTTATGGGGGGACGGAAGGAAGATTATCAACACATAGGAGGAAGTGGGGGATAGAGGGGTACCGAGGAACACTGAGTCCCTCTGGAAAATGCACAGGCTATCATCCTAGTTCCTGCCAAATTAAGATGGGTGACATTTACTTTACTTGGCCTCAGAGGGCAGAAACAGAAACAATAGGTGGATGTAGCAAAGAGGCAACACATTTAGGTTTGATGTCAGGAAAAAAAATTTCTTAAGGATTATGGATTTTAAAAGTTGTTTTCTCTGAAGGAAGACTCCCAGCATATTCAGTGAACCACTGGGGGAAGTTCTACCAGAGGACATGGAGTCACACAGCCAGGAGTCACACAGGATAAATAGGAATGGATGCATTGCAATCTGCTCCGTGGGAAGAATGACTCCCATGGATGAGATCACATATCTATCCACATAGCAAAGTAGTAATTGTGTCAAAATGGGGGCTCTTTTCTCCTTAACTAGGGCAGGGTCTCTTAAGGATATGGATGGAACAGGCCTTTTCCTTCTCTTGTATCCCTCATAGCTTTAGCTTAGGGACTGAACACAATTAGTCTGAGAGAAATGATTATTTCTTTCTTGTATTAATAACTAATTGTTATATTGAGACCATTTGCTCTCCTTTTCTACTCTCTCATCCAAAAATCAGCCAATGTGGGAAATCTTTCTAAAAGACCTACCCAGCCAGGATAGCTGAGATCTAATCAAAGATAGTAGAAGAAATTCTAAGTTTAGGGTAATGGGTACATTCTTGCTCATTGTGTTTTATCAGACAGGGCTGGGAAAATGTAGATCCTCCTTTTTGTCAGACAGGTGATATAGAAATTGATAAGTCTCATTTACCAATATTTGGGTCATTCAAGTCATGTACCTCAAAACCCTCATTGTAACTTAGTGCAGCCTCTCACTGGAATATTTATTCTGTCATTAATTGTTAACCTGTCAGAGTTGATTGCACCCTCAGAAACACCTGCTCTTCCAAGGGCATATAAACTGTGAGCCCACCATCAGGAGGGATCTTTGGTCTAAGAAAGATGGCCAATGACCACCCTTTTTATTAATAAACATATTGGCATCATTAATAAAATGGTTAAATTACGCAGAAACTACCCAGTTTCTTGAACTTTTTAAATGTCACAAGTCCATCACTCAACAAACATTAACTAAGTGCTTACTACGTATCAGCACTGGGGATATAAGTATAAGCAAAAAGAAACAGTCTCTGTCATCATGGACCTTACATTGTAATGTAGAGCGACAACACAAAAGGAGCTGAAAAGGGTCCAGGGTTGAGGGATGGGGCCACAGATGGGAAAGACTTGGTTTAGGCCCTTCGCCTGAATGAAGGTTTTGGGAAGACCTCACCAACTGCAGAAGGGAAGCATGTGCTCAACACATTCTACTCTGATCTTACAGTCCCCAGCCTCTGGGAGGACTGGTGACATACATTTGAAATTGACCTGATATGACTGGGCCCAAAGTTCAATAGGAGAAGACTAGATCAGTTGACTTTTGAGAAATTGCCAAGTTCTTTGACCCCAAACTCCTCCTTGTAAAAAAAAAGCCCCTCCTCTTTTAGCACCGATATTATTTTGGTGATGTGTGGCCTTGAACCATGGAATTAGAGTGTGTGAAGCATTGATGATGTCACTAAATAAGCGATGGAGTGGGGCGTGGTGGATACGACCCACCTGAACTGCGTTGTAAATGAAGATGCGCAGAGGTGGTATAGGACACCATAGACATATTTGACTAGAAAATAGAAAATTCAAAGAGAATGAGGTATAGCCAGCAGGTAGCCCAAATCCTCTACTGGTAATTCATGGAAAGTCAAGAGACCTAATGGAACTTTCTCCCCAAATATATTGTATCATATCATTAGTTGACAGTCTGACCTATTTTCATCATAGCTATACTGAGACTTCACATAACCTTAAAATATGGCATATAAGTTAGTGTAATACCGTATTGCCTTTTGATAAAGGTAAGCTACCTCCACGGATTTACCTCTTTAGCCTTCCTTTCCCTGAACCATAAAGTGAGAGGTTTGGACTAGGGGACCTCTAAGGTCTCTTCCAGACATAGGTCTATGATCCTATAATTCCTGAATGAACTGCTCTTCTTGGATGTCCTCATTTTCAATCTGTGCCACAGTCTGTGGCTTGGCTTCCCCTCCACCCCTACCCGACAACACCTTGGCATTTGATTCTGCTCATTTACCTTATTGAGGTCAGTAGACTGCATACTGTTGAGTTATGGGGGAATCCCTAAGCACTGGGACTCTCTTTCGTGGAGAAGGTGGAAAAGATTAAAGTGACCACAGAGACCAAGATGGTAAGGCATTCAGAGAAAGAGAAAATGTTACTGAATCATGAGCTTGCTGAGTTGGAAAGAATCTCAGAGGCCACCTAGTCTACCTGAACAAGACAGCCTTCTACAATGTGCTTGGCACATGGTCATTTAACCTTGGCTTAAAGACCTCCAGTGATGGGTGAGGGGATCAGATAGTGCCGACTGATTATTTCACTAGATAGAAGTTCTAATTCTGAGAACTCCACCCCCAATTTTGCTGGAAAAAAGGTTCAAGGGGAAAAGTGAAGAGGGAGTTTTGCTGCAGAGAGCAGTGGGGTGCAGTGAAAATAGCACTGGGTTTGCAATTAAATGGCTTGGGTTTAAATCCTGACTTTACCATTGACAATCAGCGTGACCTTGGAAAAGGCCTCAGTTTCCTCAAATGCAAAATGAGAGGTGGACTAAATAACCTAATTGCTCCCTTCTTTCTCTAAATCCACTATGAATCCTAACAGTGAGAGAGTACACAAGGAGTTTGATTAGAAGAATTGGCCTTGGGCTTATTCCCAGAAAGGGAAAGCTAGGATCAATGTTTGAGAATCACAGAGATTTCACTTCAGTGTAAGGGGAAAAAAACTTAATAACTCGAGTAATCCTTCAGTGGAATCGGGTGTCCCAGAAGATAGAAAGTATCAGAACATATCACTAGATATCTTCAAACAGAGGCTGAGTGAGCACTTATTGAGGATGGTATGGAAGGGATTCTTTGTCAGGGCTAGGTTTAATTGGTTTACAACAGAGATCCTTTCTGTGCTGAGCTTCTCTGCCTGAAGGAGAAATGTGAACAAGTAAGCTTTATTGGTTGTAAAGGAACAAACACACACACACACACACACACACCCCTAAAGGAGCCCATAGTGAAAGTCCTCTAGGATAGGTCTTTGTGTCCATTGCACTTTCTAAATTCAAACAACAGTTACAAATGCCATATGTGTCCACGGATCTGTGGCAACACACCCCTCCCCATACTTCCCAGCAACACCTGATGGTGACTCTGTTCTAGAGTTTCCTGTTCTCACCACAGACTTCATTTCATTTCTGCTTTCAAGGTTGCCAAACATGCTCAGGTTCTGCCTAGCAACAGATATCCCAGCCTGCAATGATAGGAGGGCTAATCTTGGGCAGGGCCAATCCGAGATAGGGTGGGGATAAGGAGTGGGGAGCCAATGTTTATTTCTCTTTTGGATACTATTGGGGTACAGCATTTGGAGAGTGGAGCCTCCTCCAATGAGAGTGTGGTTGCAGATGCCAGGCAATCATCTGTGGAAAGCGATGGCCAGCCGAAGGAGAAAGAAGAGGAGGAAGAAGGGGTCTTTCTCATCCTTGCTACTCATTCTGGGGGTACTTTCTCTAACAGGGATCCAGGCAGGTGAGTGTAGGGGAGTAAGTGGAAGGAAGGATGGAAGGCATTGTGGTCTGGATCTGATGGGGTCTCCCTCAGTCCCTGCCTAGTGGAAGAGTCCTGATATTGACAGAAAACACTCAAGGAACAAACTAACAAGGGCATTATGAGTAGAACCATAAGAGCAGAGGTTGATTCTAATGGAATACTTCTCTTCTATCTAACCAAGTAGTGATGCAGGGAAATCTTCCAGGAGGAAGTGAGGTTTGACCTAAGAGACTGAATATATCTCTGCTGTACATGTATTTCCAAGTAAGAATTGAGAAGAATTGGGGCTAGGTGGGGACCTAGGCTACAAGGGCAACATAAAGAAGAGAGGAATGGGAGTTAACAGTCTTCATTTAAAGTTCTGGAATCTCAAGAACCCCAAGAGTCAGTCCTAAGCCATTATCTAGAGAAGAGCAAGAAAGGAGCTCCCAGGCTGCCAAATAAGGAAGGGGGGATGAAGAAGGAAAAGTTAATCAACTAGGATTCATAGTGGATTTAAAGAAAGAAGGGAGCAATTAGGTTATTTAGTCCACCTCTCATTTTGCATTTGAGGAAACTGAGGCCTTTTCCTAGATCACACTAATTGTCAATGGTAAAGTCAGGATTTGAACCCAAGCAATTTAATTGCAAATCCAGTGCTATTTTCACTGCATCTCACTGCTCTCTGCAGCAAAATTCCCTCTTCACTTTTCCCCTTGAACCCTTTTCCAGTAAAATTGAGGGTGGATTTAAAAAGAGGGAGGAGGACAAACAGGAGAAGGCATAGCAGTGATATCTCACAGATAGGGACCACATGTCACTGGATGCCCACTTGGAGTCCTGTGGAAAATAATTTTATTTGATTTTTTTGTTTGGTTCACTTTGTGTTGAGTTGATTATTCTTTTTTGAACCAAAGCCATCTCCATTGTTCAACTAGCACCCATTCCACAGGTTGTGGGAGAGGTTCAAAGAAGACAATTCAAGTAAAGCACTGTTCAGTCTTAAAAGCACCATGGAAATGTCAGTGACTGTTGTTACTATTGTTCTAGACATGTGATTTCATTGTTCTAGAGCTCCTGAGAAGGAATCTCCCACTATCAATTCAGATCAGCACCTGTTTTGAAGCTTAGTCTCAGGTGGTTGTTACCTTGGACACTGAAAGGCCAAATGACTTAAACAGTGTCACATAGCCAGTATGTGTTAGAGACAGAACTTGAACCCAGATCCTCCTGACTCCAAGGCTGACTCTACACTGTACCATACTGCCTGTATTTCTATTATTATGACTACTGTCACTTCTGCTCCTGCTCCTGCTCCTGCTGATACTACCACCAACAGGATGTGGGCCCATCTGCTACTGTCACTGTGCTGGTTGCTTTCAGTGAGCCTTCACTGGATGAGTTCACATCATAATAATTTTATTCATGTACAAAACAATTATTTTATCCATGTGTGTAATAGTCCCCAACATGTTTAACACACAGGAATGTGAGCCAGCTAGCGATTTGTCCTAGGATGATTTCTATCTGAATCTCATTGAAAAAGTTGAGGTTGAGATGATGATGATGATTAAATGTGAAGAAAATGCTTCCCCTGGGCCTTGAATATGCCAGCAACAAATTGGTGGCTGCATAAAGGGAGATTGGGATACTACCAGCAAAGGTGATGCTAATTGGGGCAGACCTAACTTCTCCTAACTATGGTGCCTGCTGACCAAAGCATAGGAATTGTTATTATTTTTTTTACATACAATGACAAGATTTCCCTACTGATCTTTGGGATGTAGAAGCAGCTGGCAGGGGCAGCCCCTCCCAATCAGAGAAATTTGAGTTTCCCATGAGAAAGAAGCAGCTCTAAGGTTTTCATGATTGCTGCTGGTAGACCAGAGACCTCACTCAGGATCCTAGGATCCTGGACTTGTATTTGGAGCTTGAAAGGACTCAAGGTTGTCTAGTTCATCTTCCTCATTTTGAAGATAAGGAAACTGAGGTTCCAAGAGGTAAAATGATTTGTTTAAGATCATATCCCAAGCCCTCTGTTTCATTACAGCAATAGTTGCTAAATCTTGTGCAATCCTGACTATGGCCCCATGGTATTTGAATTATTTCTTTCTGACTTTATTTTATTTATAATTCTATTTCTTTGCTTCGTCCTTCCTTCCCTCCTACCTTCCCTCCTTCCTTCTTCCTTCCTTCCCTCCTTCCTCCCTTCCTTCCTTTCCTTCCTTCCTTCCTTCCTTCTTTCCTTCCTTCCTTCCTTCCTTCCTTCCTTCTCCTCCTTCCTTCCTCCCTTCCTTCCTTCCTTCTTCCTTCCTTCCTTCCTTCCTTCCTTCCTTCCTTCCTTCCTTCCTTCCTTCCTTCCTTCCTTCCTTCCTTCCTCCTCCTCTTCCTTCCTCCCTTCCTTCCTTCCTTCCTTCCTTCCTTCCTTCCTTCCTTCCTTCCTTCCTCCCTCCCTCCCTCCTCCCTTCCTTCCTTCCTTCCTTCCTTCCTTCCTTCCTTCCTTCCTTCCTTCCTTCCTTCCTTCCTTCCTTCCTTCCTTCCTTCCTTCCTCTTTAACTCTCTTGTAAATTTTTGGTGGGCTTGTGTCCAGTCTGCATTTTTTCTTTGAGGCTTTGTTTGTAGATGTTTTCAAGTCATTATCTTATTCTGAGTCTGTGTCTTGAGCTTCCCTGTCACCATAATAGCTTTTTATGGTTAGGTGATGTGTGTGTGTGTGTGTGTGTGTGTGTGTATGTTTGCTCATTTTCCCAGTCTCTTCTCAAGTTTGAACTTTGTGTCACATTTGGGCTCTGTTCACTTCTAGGGGAAGGTGACTGGCCCGAGCTTCTGTGTTCTGTGTACTTCTGCTGATTTCACAGCCTGTTCTGGGGAACCTGTAGGTTTTTGGAGCTTTCGAAGTGTCGTAATCTGGGAAGAACTCGGTTTACTGCCCTGGTCTGTGCTGCACAAATTCCTGACTCACTTTGGGTTTCTTGGCTTGTGCGTGGTTGAGGTTCCATACTCAGCTACTGGACTCAGTCACAGAATACTGGGAGGTTCTGTAGGTTCAGAGCCACTGAAGAGCTGATTTTCCCTTGGTCTTGGTCTCCTGTCCTAGCTTGTTTCACTGTAAGCTTACGTGTGGGGCTAAAGGTCAGGACGGAGTCCCTGCTGTGCTCTTGGGCTTCGAGTCACACAGCTAGGGTTCCGGACCTTGTTCCTTACTCTGTACACAGATAAAGTCCTTCCTTCCTTGTGGCCTTGTGATTGCTTCTCTCCACCTGGAACTGTGACCTGGAATGGAGTAATGACTGACAGAAGTGCCAGATGACATGCATCCTCCTCCTAGTGCTGGTATAGGGGTCCCCTGGGACCTCTTTCTGCTTAGGTGTTCAGTTCCCTCACTGTCCCTGAGCACTGCACAGCTCCCTGATAGTGCGGCCACTACCACAGCCTGCTGCTGCTGGGCTCCTGGCCAGCCCCTACCCCAGGGTCCACAGACCTCCGTATCTCTCTTCTTAAGCTATTCTGGGCCAGAAACATGCTTCACTGTAACTTCTTTTTTTTGGCTTTTATGATTATGATTCAGTCTGGCCTGGTTTTTAGATCATTGTAGAGGAGGCTGTTGAGGAGCTCAGGCTAAGTTATCTCTCACTTCAACATCTTGACTCCTTCCTCCTTTCCTAAGGTCATAAGGCAGTGAACAACTGCCCCTGGACTCCTTCTTTTTGAGTATCAAACTCAGAGAGAAAAATTGGCAATAAGAATGACCACAGACAGATGGAACCTAGGATCCAGATATTCTCATGTCCCCGTAGGCAAATCACTGGCAGGAAGGGTTCAGTGTCTGCACTGTTCCTGACTCCCCTTCCTGAGCTTTCACTTCTCTGTCCACTTGAGCAGGTGACTTGAGAGGAAAGCTGTCAGCGTTGGAGTCAGGATGACCTGAATTCAATGCCTGCCTTGGATCCATAGTAGCTGCATGATCAGGGTCAAGGCATTTAGCTTCTCAGTCTTCTGGGTAACTGCCCAGCATAAGTGTTACAGCTTAGTTGTTTATCTACATCAATGGAAGGAGCTTCCACGCTGGGAGTTCCTTACATTGATGAAATCACATTTCAGTTTCCAGAAACAAAAATTAATCCCTGTACTACCAATTCACTCTGGAACTCAGAGGAGGCTTCCTCCTCTCAGGCCCATGGCTGGCCAGCGGGGGGGAAGGCTGATTCTTCCTTTACTTTGAGACACATTCTACATATTCCCTTTCCTCTGTAAGTTAGTAGAGGCAAGTTTGGAATTTTTCAAGACACTTTATGTGGAAGCAAACAAATAAAAGACAGGCCTTATGACAAATAAACTGACGGAAGATAATTTTTTCCCTTTAACTTTTTTACTGTCTAGAAATTGAATGAATGGGTTGGTACAGTTGATGAGGCCCCTTAATTGATTCTTTTTCATCTGCCTTCACCTTGACTGGGCAATGAACCTCATAGTCCCTCTTTTCAGTCTCTTGGAATTTCTTCCTCCCATTCCTTTCTTTCACTTCTCTTCTCCAGGGAGTGAATGGAATGGGAACTCCAACCTCCAGCCATGTACGACAGTAGATTATTTCTTGATCAAGTATTTATTAGGAGTCTAAGGCTAATTAAAACTAGGAATTGAAGATCTGGAGTTTTCTCTATCAAGATGCTTCCTCTTACCTTGGTGAAAGGTAAAGAGCATGTTCCTTCAACTCCATGACCATCGATTACCATCATATTTGCTCCTACTGGGATCTTTCAATGGAAAAGAACGACCTTTTTGTTGTTTTGTCATTTTCAGTTGTGTCCAACTCTTCATGACCCCATTTGGGATTTTCTTGGCAAAGATACTGGAGTGCTTTGCCACTTCCTTCTCCATCTCATTTTACAGATGAGGAGCTGAGGCAAACAGGTTTAAGTAATTTGCCCAGGATCACATAGTTAGTACGTGTCCAAGTCTGGATTTGAACTTACATCTTTCTGATTCCAGGTGTGGTACTCTATCCACTGCGCTACCTTGCTGCCTGGAAATGACCTTAGGGACCCATAGTTTATATGAGTTCCCAAAGGTCATCTAATCTGATGGTGTCAAACCCAAACTAAGATGTATCCTTGGGACAGCATAATGACTTAGAAAACCATGGATTCACATTATCTAGATTGTGTTATATTTTTATTTCTTTGTTAGACATTTCCCAATAACATTTCAATTTGCTTCTGACAAGTCAAACCCTTGCATGAGCAAGAATTGCCACTCCCCTCAACATCTCCTACCAAGTGCTCTTTCAGCCTCTGCTTGAAGACCTCCAGTGATTAGGAGCTCACTGCATTATTAAAAGGCCTGGGGATATTCAGAACAGAGAATTGGAAACTTGTGGGGAAGAGAGCAGGAAGTGGTGTTACATGATAACTATCTTCAAATATTTGAAAAGCTGTCCGGTGGAAGAGGGATTAGACTCTCTCTGCTTGGCTCCTAGAAAGAAGAACCTAGAACAATGGGGAGAAGTTTCAGAGAGGTACATTTAGGCTTGGTGTCAGGAAAAACCTTCCTAACAATGAGCTTTGTCCAAAAGAAGACTTGGCTGCTGCCAGAGGTGGGTTCCCCTTCATTCCAGGACTTCAAGCAAAAGCTTTGAGACCACCTGTTAGAGTCTGAATTCTTTTTAGGTATAAATTTTGTTAGATAGTTTTCGAGATCCCTTCTAACTCTAAATTCTGCAATGGTATAAGGCAATTCACTAGAATTTTGTATACCTCTAGTTAGAAAAACTTCATTTTGAAATGAAATTTGCCTACAGGTCACTTCTACCAGTTTCCAGTGCTATAGCCTAAGAATAGTGAGAGGAGAAGTAGAGTTGTTGTTCTCAAAATGTGGGACCCTGTCAGACTCCAGAGTTACCAAGCAACTGACCAAAGGTAGTTATCAGCACCACAAGAGTCAGGGTAGGGCTGCCGTTGGAGGTCTGGGGTAACATCATCCCTTTTCCTTTCATTGGTGCTAAAATAATTGGGGAGATAAAGAGCAAAGGCCCCTTCCAGCTATGATCTCAAACTAGTAGGAGTGAAATTGGACTGGAACAAGTCAGTCAAATGCTGTCAGTAATATTGGTTGCATTGGTGTTAAATCCTTAGGTTCTTTCCCCTATATGTGTGTTCTCATGCTCTTGTGCTCTTGTGCATAAGATATTTTATAGATAAGTAAGGTGAGGCACAAAGAGGTTAAGTGATTTGCCCAGGGTGATTAGACGGTAAGTATCTGATGTAGGATTAGAACTGAGGTTTCTCTGATTCTAAATCCAGCATTCTATCCACTATAACTACCCTCTTCACAAGGTGGCCCAAGGAAGACTAGCTGCCTTCCAAGTAGCAGGAAGACAAAGGGAGGAGTGAGAAAAGACCCATGGGTTCTGGGCCCCTCAAATACACACCTGATTCCTCCTCCTCTCTTCTCTTCTCTCCCCATCCTTTGCTGTCCTGCAGCTTACCACGAGCATGTGATACAGTTCACAACAGTGGGCACAGGAAGCTACCTCTTGGATCACTTCATGGTGGACTTTCTGGATGATGTTCAGGTGTTCTCCTATGACAAACATAACCAGCAGCTCATGGCTAAGGAGGCCTGGATCTCCCAGGCCCTGGGGGCCAAGTTCATAACCAAGATTCGGCAGAAATTAGTGGATCATGAGAAGAGTTTCCTCTGGTTCCTGAAGAAGTTGACGCAGAATGAGACCAAGTATGATGGTAAGTCAGCCACTCTTCCCTTCTCCCATGCATCCTTCCCTCTCCCTTCTTTCTCTCTGCCTCCATTGAGCCCAATGCCCCCTTTCTAGGAGGCCATGCCATTAGGCTGAGTATTCAGGATCTCAGGGCACTCTAGAGAGAAGAGAAGGACTTGGTTCTCACTGAACCACATCAGCTTCCCAAGGTATTGGCTTCTTCTCTTGGAACTGATTAATCTTATTCAATCAATTAACATTTATTAAAGGTCTGCTATGTGTCAGGCATTCTAGGGGGAACTTTGTCTTCATCCTCCATCCATTTTCCTCTACCCTTTATGTTATCCCTATCATTGAACTTCACTTTGAAGCAATTAACCCCCTGTTCTTCCATGATTTCTGAGTTCAGAGATCTGCTGTATAAACTAATCAACTAACCATTATCTGTCCTCCTCTTTTGCCATTGCTACTGTATTTCAATGCCTAATTACAGCAGTTACTTTCATCTGCTCCTTCCCTAGCCTGCCTCCACACACTCTAAACCACCAGTTTGTTTTTCTAGGGCTTATTCACAAGAAAAAAAAGACATATACAAATTCACAAATAATACACCAAGATAAGGTGACTGGAACTCATAAAATAGGAAAATGATCAGGCCCATAATGACATGATCAAGGTCCTAAGCTATTCTTTCTTAATTACAGTTTCCCAGCTTACCTCGATTGGGATTACTCATAGGTAGGGAGCATCTGCCTCCCTTAGGAACTCAAGAAATTAACACAAACAGGACATCCTTAGAGACTCCAAGAGATAACCCTTGACAGTATTGGACACCCCAAGGTTTGTTGCCTTCTTGTGATATCAATACAATAGCTCGCATTTCTATCTTGCTTTTAAGAAATATTTTCCTTCACAACTCTGTAGGTATGAAGGGAAGTGACCTTTATGCCTATTTGATGAATGAGAATACTGAGGAATAGAGGTAAAGTCATTTCCCCAAAGATGTACAGATAAGTGTCAGAGCTAGGATTCATGTTTAGGTTCTATTGACTCTAGGTCTAATACTCTTGTCATTGTATTACCTTTCAACCTCGCCCTACAGTAAACTGCATGGTGCAGGTTTTTGTTAGCTGTGAGATTGAAGAAAACAGCCCTATAGGAAATGAAATCCGGGTTGCTGTGGATGGTCAAGATTTTTTCTTCCTGGATGAGGAGATGGGGAATTGGACTGCCTTGATGCCTGAGGCTCAGCCCTTCAAACCCATTCTGACAAGTCCCCTCTGGACCACTCAGAAGGAACACTACATGCAAGAATATTGTATTGACACCATGAAAAAAATCCTGCAGTACTCTAGTATAAAGAAGAATGGTGAGTACTTGGTCTTCCGACCCACTTTCCATCAGGACATGTGGCCACCCTTTCCTATCTTCTGGATAGTGGCTGATGCCCTGGTGTGTGTGTCAGAAGTCAAAGAAGTGGGTCCTGGCTTCAGCTCCCATCACTATGGGAAAAAATCAGTGCCAGAGAAAGGAGAATGATTGTTCTGTGTGATTGTGGTCATGCTCTTATGTAGAGATGACCCCAGAGAAAGGAGAATGATTGTTCTGAGTGATTGTGGTCATTCTCTTATGTAGAGATGACCCCAACGATCTGAGGTAACCCCGAGATCTCTAGGTCTATGCTTACGAAGCACAAGCTCTGCTTGGTCTCATCATGTTAGGGAAACCAAAGCCCCAAAGCAGAAAGTCTCCATGCGTCTGTCTCTCTTTCTCAGTGACTAACCCAGCTAAAGGCAGAGATGTCCATCATCAAAAGGTGGAGGAACACCCTGTTTCAATGATGACAGTACTGTCTTGAAGGAACTACTCATGAAGACCCATGTTCTAAAGTAGAGAAATTACTTTTTAACTATGCCTTTCCCATCTCCTCTACTGAATTTGATTATATAAAGCTATTTACATTAATCTGTACTGAATTTTGTCTTGTAATATTCAGCCCAATATTTTAGCCTGTCCAGGTCTTTTTGGATCTTGACTTTGTCATCTCATGTGTTAAGTATTCCCTCACCCCTAGCTTTGTGTCACTTTCAAATGTGATGATCATGGCATCTCTGCTTTCTTTCAAATAACTGGTGACAATGTTAAGCAACAAAGGGTCCAGTATAGATCCCTGGGGCACTACATTGGAGACCTCTGGCCAAGTCAACATTGAACCATTCATGCAAATTCTTTGCATCTAATGCCTACCCCCAAGTGCCTTCTGTGTTGTCTTCCCCATTAGAGTGTAAGCTTATTTAGTTCAGGTAATGTCCTTTTGGCTCTCCTTTTTAAAAAAAAAATTAAACTAAAAATTATTTATTTTTAATTTTCGACACTGTAAGATTTTGAATTTTAAATTTTATCCCTCTCCTTCCCCCCCCAAGATAGCACACATCCATTCATAATGATACTAAATATATTCTTCCATGAGTAATGTTGTAAAGAAGAATTAGAACCCAAGTGAAAAAAACAAGAGAAAGAAAACAAAACAAAACAAAAAAAGATAAAATAGCATGCTTCGATTTGCATTCAGACTCCATAGTTCTTTCTCTAGATGTGGATAGCATTTTCTGTCATGAATCTTTTAGAATTGTCTTAGATTGTTGCATTTGCCTCTTCTTGTACCCCCAGTGCTTAAGCACAGTTTACAGCACACAGTTTAACAAATGCTTGTTGAGGGGCAGCTAGGTGGAGCAGTGGATAGAGCACTGGCCCTGGATTCAGGAGGACCTGAGTTCAAATCCGGCCTCGGACACATAACACTTACTAGCTGTGTGACCCTGGGCAAGCCACTTAACCCCATTGCCTAGCCAAAACAAACAAACAAACAAACCAATAAGTGCCTGTTGAATTGATATGAGTCTGTTCAATTCCTAATCTACCTACTTGTATTGTTATCTATCTCATCTTATTCCATCTTTTCCCCAAGTATAACACTCTACTTTCTTAAATGCTTAAATCTAGATAAACTATATTCAAGCAAGCCTCTCATCTACTAGCTTGGCAATCTTGCCAACAAAGAAAATGAAATTGGTCTGGCATGACCTGCTCCTGATGAATTCAAGCTGGCTCCTTGTAATCACTGCTTTCTTTTTAGATATCCACCTATCATCTCTTTAGTGAAACTTAATGAATCTTGTAAATCTTTTTAATGAAGCTTGCTGGCTTGAGCTCTGACTCAAAAAATACCCTCTTTTTTTTTTAAAAAAAATAGGGTAACATTTACTTTTCTTTAGTCCTATGGTACCTGTTCCATTCTCCATGATCTGGCAGGCTTCACTGTCAGTAAATGAGCCATTTCCTCTGTCAGCACTTTCAGGACCCCAGAATGTAGTTCTTGTGGGCCAGGTGAGGATGAAATGGGAGAATATTCATAAAGCTCTTTGCAAACCTTACAGTGCTACCTAAATATAAATATAAATACTACTACTACTAGTACCATCACCACCACCATCACCACTACTACCACTGCTACTACTACCACTACCATCACTACCACCACTACTGCTGCTAATGCTGCTATTACTACTACTACTACTTAAAAAAAGAAGCTAAGTACTCTCTTAATGTACCCATTCTGATCTTTTGCTCCAATCTCCATCGGTCATTTTTGTTTTGTGATCTCCAGTGCAAAAGCGATTCTGCTTGGCAGAGAGATAAGCACCTTTGCCTTCTTTCTGTTGTGACCAATCCTACTAGTCACACTATGCCTACTTAGAGGATCGTCTTTTCCCCAATATTGCTTTAAAATCCCCCTTTTTGTTATTTTACAATGCTTTCCTCATTCTGCATTTTAACTCCATTAGTATTTCTAAGAATGGTACCATCATCCTCTATAATTTATCCCAGATTCTATGTTCTGTATATTTCTTTTTTAAAATATATTGGCTGGTGAGTTACCTATGCATCTTCATCAGTGTCTTTGGACAAATTCCTCCCTTTTCTCATCATCTGGAGGAGATTTCCATTGATATCCAATTTCCATTGATAGCTTCAAATTTTCATTTTAAAATGACTCCTTTTCCTCCTGTTCTGGTTTCTTCTGCAAAATTTTAGTACATGAGATTAGTTTTCCTCTGAACTCTTTGAAATCTCCTCTTCCAAAGTGTTGAGGACATATCAGACCAGCCCAAGTTCCTAGACTTTTCTATCACAAAATCAAGGAGTCACTTCCTCTCAGAGTTTCTATCATTTATGCATCAACAGCTAGTCCCTTATTTTTAGTGAGAATCATGTTTAGAAATATTTTTCCCTTGTTGGTTTTCCCATCTTTTGAAGGAAGAAATTATCATGAAGGCAAGTCATCATGTTGCTAGCCACTCTGCCTTTCATAGATACAGAGGTCCAGTGGATATCTGAATAATTGAAATTCTACACCACTGCTATAGCAGGTCTCTTGGACAGGTTATGAATCTGTTTCCCAGGCTTGTGATCTTGAGGGTTTGTGATTCATGGGAATAAGCACATAGATAAAGTCATTGATATGAACACTAGAACATGTTGAAGAAGATTCTAGTTTTTATCCTATAATAGTCAAGACTCTGTTGACCTCTTAATTGAGTTAGAAAGCTGTTGATATTACTGCTATCACTGGAGTCATTTGCCATTTCCTCCTCCAGCTCATTTTACAGGTGAGGAAACTGAGGCAAACAGGGTATCACTTGCCCAGGGTCACAAAACTAGGAAGTGTCAGAGGTCACAAATCAACAACAATTTGTTGAGGATCAACTACGTACAGAGGACACTGGAGAGATATAAAATGGACGCTGAGGAAGCATGTAATGAATCATGTAGTACCTTGTCCTCTAAGACCTTATGACTGCTAAATCCTAGGGGCTTTGGCAATAAGAGAAATGAAGAAAGAGAGTGACAATGGAAATAGAAAATGCTACTGAGATTTGCACATGATACTTTCTCTCCTGATCTCTACCTTTAGTGCCCCCTGAGGTGACTGTGTCTCACCATGAAGCCATGGATGGCATTACCACCCTCGCCTGCTCTGCTACTGGCTTCTACCCCAGCTCTATCCTGTTGCACTGGCAGAAGGGGAAGGAGATAATTGTGGCTGGGAAGGAGAGCTCTAGCGGCACTTTGCCCAATGCTGATTCTACCTTCTACCAAAGAATCACCATTGAACTCCCACCAGATGACCCGGGGACCAATTATGACTGTGTAGTGGACCATATTGAGCTGGGGACACCAAAAGCGTATCCTGGTGAGTGATTAGACTGAGTTGGTTAGGTTGAGTCCCAGGAGGATTGGCCATGAAATGCTGTTGATTCTGTGCCCAACCCCCCCGGCTCTTGTTACTTCTCCAGAATATATCAATAGAAGAGGCTTCCCAATTGATATATTTCCCATTTTCACGTGGAAGATTTCTATTTGCATTAACTATCTTCCCTTTATACTCTTCCTCTTGCTGCCACAGTCCATGTGAAGTATCCTAAAAAGAGGTCTTGGACTGCGACTTTTACCATCCTGGGTGTTGTCATTCTGGTGTTGAGCTGTGCTGCATCCTTCATCATGTGGAAGAAAATGAAGACAGGTGTGTATATGGGGAGAGAGAGGAAAGGACAAGACTAGTGGGTCAGAAAGGGATCACAGACATTGCAATATGTTTCATCAACTTTGTGAGGGTGTGGGAAACAAAGGAGCTTTGATTTCTATTTCCACCTCACCCTCTAGATCTATGAGATCTGGGGACTTCTCTGTTAAGATTTTTTTGGATTTAATGTCCAGGTTCTTTCTTTTTGGTCATGATTCTCAGGTAGTCTAATCATTCTTAAATTCTCAATCTGTTTTGCTATGATACCTTACCTTCCATGATATTTTCTATTTTTGATTTTATCTTAATATTTCTTGTTATTTCATTCAGTTATTAAGCTTTATTTGGTCTAATTTTCAAGGATTTTATTGCTTGGGCAAGGCTTTGTACTTCTTGTGCCAAGCTGCTAATTCTGTTTCTGATTCTTTATTCCATAGATCTCATTTCTTTTCCAAAACCCTCTTTCAACTCCCTCTTTTAATAAACTTTTGCTTCATCTCTTAGGAATTCCAGTTTAATCTGTCCCCAGGCTGATTTGCTCGCTCTCTCTCTCTCTCTCTCTCTCTCTCTCTCTCTCTCTCTCTCTCTCTCTCTCTCTCTTGTTTTTAAATTTTTATTAGTATCTCTTCTTATGTATCACTTAATTTACTCCCAATGTTCCCTCCCCAGTCTTTTTCAGAAAGCAGTCCCTTATAACAGAATTGTTTTTAAGGGGAAAAAAAAAACAAGTAAGATTAGCAAAAAGCAAAATCAATCAATACATCCCAAAAAAGTCCCAAAATATATGTAATGTTCCACACCCATGGGCCTCCCACCTTTGCAAAGGAATAGAGTAGGGATACCTTTTCATATTCCTCCATGGTTGTGGTGGGGTTTTTTTTGTGATAATTTTATAACACTCAGTTTTAATTATCTTGTGACTGGTATTCTTTCCTACATTGTTGTTGTCAAAGTCATTATGTATTGTTTCCTTGGCTCTGCTTACTAAATTCTGTGTCCTTCCATATTAATTTGTCCATTATTTTCTATATGTTATCATTTATGTCCTTTCTTATAGCTCAATATTTCTTTACATTCGTGTACCACAGTTTGTTTACCCATTCCTCAATCAATGGCATCTCCTTTCCCCAAAATTCTTACTACCACAAAAATAGCTATGAATATTTTGACATACATGGGAATTTTTCTATTATCAATGACCTATGGATTGCCTAAACATGGGAACTTTGGGCCAAAAGGTATAGTCATTTTATTGATTTTATTTGAATAATTCAAAATTGCTTTCCATGACGGTTATACTGATTCATAATTCTGCCAATAATCTCTCTCTCTGTTTGAGGCTTTGTTTGTAGAGGTCTCAGAGTCATTCTCTTCTTCTGGGTTTGTGTCTTCAGTGTCCCTATCACCATAGTAGTTTTTGTGGTAGTATACTTTTGGGGGTTTGCTCATTCTTTAAGCCTACTTCCTAACTTTGACCTTTGCTACTGCTGGACACTGCACATGCCAGGAAGGATTATCTGGTCTGGTCCTGCTGCTTTCTTGGGGTATTAAGTGTTTTGTTCTTCCAGGATCTCAAGAGTAGCTCAGGTCAGGGAACTGTTAATTTTCAGTGCCTTAAAGTTGTCTGATCTGGGGCAAAGTCTGATTTCCGCCCTCCTTGTCTAAGCTCTACAAGTTATAGACCTGCATTTGAGTCTGAGCAGCAGGTTTGTAGACTTGTCCAGTTGAAGTTTCAGTAGACTTCTGCTGTACTCAGTTGCTACCAGAAAGATGGAAAGTTCTGCTGGTTTAGAGTGGCATAATTGCAGGCTTCCTTTTGGGCTGAGATTCTTGATCTGATTATTCCTTAGCAGGCTTCAGTCTGGACTGAAAGCTAGAACTGAGAACACACTCTGCTCCTGAGTTATAAGCCACACAGCTGCTGCTTGCTTCTGAACTTGCTCCTTGAATGGTCAAAAAGAGCACTGTTAACAGAACCCCACCATCTTGCAGTTCACAGGGACCACCATGATCTTCTTGTCCAAAGTATATCTGACTGAACAACAGTTCTTCAATAACACTGATGGTCAACCTGCCTCAAGCTAGTTCAAAAGAGATGGGACCTTATCACTTCCTGTATTACCCCACTCTACTTTTGAAATACTCAGTTAAATTTTTTTTTCTATCACACAAAGAAAATTTGCCCCACTTCCCTCCGTGTAGAACAAATTTAATTCCTCTTCCATGTGACAGCTCTACCATAGCTACCCCCAGTCTTCTCTTCTGCAGGCCAATGCTACATGTTGCCAGTGTCCTTCCTGAAAGTGGTCTTGACTACAATATAGTATTCCAAATGGGGGCTGACCAGGGTAGAGGGCAGTGGGACTATCACTTCCCCACTGGACTTTTCTCTTTTTTTTAGGCAATTGGGGTCAAGTGACTTGCCCAGGGTCACACAGCTAGTAAGTATCAAGTGTCTGAGGCTGGATTTGAATTCAGGTCCTCCTGACTCCAGGGCCAGTGCTCTATCCACTGTGCCACCTAGCTGCCTCGGCTTTTCTCTTAATAGAGCCTAAAACTGTGCTTACTTTTTCAACTGCCATGTAATTCCACCCACCCAAACTGAGTTTGCAATATAGTAAAAATCCATCAGATCTTTTTTCAAATAAACTGCTGAGTAGTCATGCCTCTCCTGTCCTGCTGTTAGAAGCTTTACAGCTGATTTTATACATTTCATCATATTTGTTTTGGCCCATGTTTCTAGCCTGTCTTAATCTTTCCTATCCTGATGCTCATCCAACATGGTAGTTCTCCCGCTAGCTTTGTTCCACCTACCAATTGATATGGATCCTAGTTATGCCCTTATTCATTTAATTTTGTTCATTCATTTCAACATTAATAAATATTGAAGATTAATGGCCCAAGGAGAGGTCCTGGAGGCTTTACTTGAGGAAAGAGAAGAGAACTAGGCACCATCTTTGGGGAATGATTGATCTGATGAGGAGACAGTCTTTGTGCCCAGGCAGCTCCTAGTCTGTTTTGGGAGATGCAAAGTATTTGCCTCTGGGGAAGGTAGTATAGACAGAGATCAGGTGTGTTCTCACTTTGAGAAAGGGGGATATAAGAGCCACATCTCCAGGACCATTCTCACTTACACATGTTTTTGTGACTTTAATTTTTTCGCAGGCTACAGGATACTTGAATGTGTTACCTTGGAAGGTAAGAAACTGGGGAATGGGGTAGGAGGAGAATGTAATGTTACCAAGAACCATAAAACATATTCATACTAAAAAAACCTTGTGACTTTTGGGGCAGGTCAGGGAGGGATGCCATGGCATGAGGTTAAAAGCAGTTCAGAGGGATATGGTGTGTGTGTGTGTGTGTGTGTGTGTGTGTGTGTGTGTGTGTGCGTGTGTGTGTGTGTGTGTGCGTGTGTGTGTGTGTGTGTGTGTGTGTGTGTGTGTGTGTGTAAATCCCTCATTCCCTTATCCTTACCTACCCAGAATGGGAATCCCAAAAGGCAGTGGGAAAATGGACATAAAAGAAGTCTGTCCTGTCAGCTGTTTCCCTACAGCCAAGCTTTGAGGAAAACTATTTGCATGCACATAGAAAAGGAGGGGAAAAAATCACTTTTTTTTCCCAGACGTTCAACTGGATCTTCAAGGTTATTCCTAGAATATTCCATGGTGCTTGCCTCAGAGAAACTGCAACTGCAATTGGCTCATTCCTGCTGAATATGAAGAAGCCCTATTCATATCCATTCCTATTAAACATATTTTCACATTAGTGATGTTGTAAGGAAGAATTAGAACTAATAGGAGGAACCATCAAAAAGAGGAAACAAAACAAAGCAGAAGAAAAAAATAGCAAATAGTATGCTTCAATCTGCATTCAAACTCTGTAGTTCTTTCTTTGGATGTGGATAGCATTTTCCATCATGAGACTTTTGGAGATGTCTTAGATCCTTGTGTTGCTGAGAAGGGTTAAGTCTATCAATATTAGTCACTGCACAATGTGGCTGTTACTCTGTACGATGTTCTCCTGGTTCTACTCACTTCACTCAGCATCAGACCATACAAGTCTTTCCAGGTTTTTCTGAAGTCAGCCTGGTCATCATTTCTTATAGCACAATAGTATTCCATTACATTCATATACCACGACTTGCTCAGCCATTCCCCAATGGACGGGCATCCTCTTAATTTCCAATTCTTTGCCGCCACAAAAAGAGCTGCTATAAAAATTTTTGTACATGTGGGTCCTGTTCCCATTTGTATGATCTCTTTGGGATATGCCCTAGAAGTGCTATTGCTGGGTCAAAGGGTATGCCCATTTTTATAGCCCTTTGGGCATAGCTCTAAATTATTCTCCAAAATTGTTGGATCATTTCACAACTCCACCAACAATGCACTAGTGTTCCAATTTTCTGAAAGACATTCTTGAGAGCTTGTTTTGAGGTTTCTTGTAGGAGTTAATTGGTGGATACTTTTTTTAAATAGTCATAATATTTAGTCAGAAAATAATGTCAATTATAATCATAAATTTTACTCACAGAGAAGCAATATTTGAAATATCACAATTAACCCATAAACTTTAGTCATATCCTTCTACCAATGTATGTGATGTCTTCTACAATGTGTGTGGCAAACCAGGGATACACATTTATAGAATCCTATCAGGGAGACACATGAATAGGGAAACCTATGTGCCTAAGGCAACTCATATACTTTGAAATGTAGTCTTTGATGTCTTTGATTCCCTCAGGAATCATTTATACTACATGAAGCTATTTCTCCACAAGTACAGACCCTTCTGGACTTCTCTGCTTTCCTGATGGATAAAACTTACTCCTCTTCTGCTCTGGAGCTTATGAAGCAGTATCAAGTTCTTTTAGCTCACAGCCACCCCTTAACAGGAAGTTAAAAAGAAATGTGTAATGCCTTTTTCAGTGACAGGAAGTTCCCATAAGCCAGAGAGCTACTAAGTTTTTCAGATCTACAAATGGCAAGGGAATTTTGCTTTATCTAATGGGCACTCAGCAAAGCCAGTCTTCTTCCCACAGCAAAACAAATGAAACACTTGTATTTCCCCTTCTGTTTTGACTTCTCAAACCAGAGAAGGTAATAAAGTGTAACCAGGAACCCCTGAGAAATTTCTCTTCTCTCAAGTTATAGAAGGCATTAGAGAGCTATGAACTCAACCCTTTAACAGCTGCAGGATTCAGCTCTTCTCCACCTGAATAATACAAGTTGAAGAACTCTCTTGGCTTACCCAAACTTTCTCCAGCTTCTCACAAAGCAATGCCCCTCTTGTAATCAACAAGCTCCCCAAAATGCAACTACAAAGTTCCTGTCAGTTTCTAAAATTCAGTCCCAGGATTCTTATGACTTCTCCAGAGCACAGCTTACTTTCCTGTTTCTTCTCTCTCTCTCTCTCTCTCTCTCTCTCTCTCTCTCTCTCTCTCTCTCTCTCTCTCTCTCTTTCTATGGCTTCTCCTGCTGGCTTCTTATGCCCTCAAATTAATGCTTCTTAGAGCTCAGTGACTCAACTCTACCTCATGAGATAGAACTCAAGAAACCCACTTTCGTGTCATATGCAAACCCAAAAGTCTTTAAACAATCCCTCACCCACAATTCCCAGTTATTTGATTTACAATTCTGTCAGGATTAACCTTTAAAACTTTAAAAATCAGTCAAAAAATGAGCTGATACACCATGATGCCCAGAAACCATTTTTACCCTAGTCATTGCATGATTTCGAGCAAGTTCTCACAGTACATTTATCTGAGGGGGAGGTCTCTTTCAGGGCTTCAGAACAGTCCCTGTCTTCTTTATATTTTATTTGTGAGATTGTATTTCTTCACAAGTGGATTTTATTAATCTTCCTTGTGCCATTGTTATTTTTCTGCCTCTGTTAGTAATCAAATTGTTCCTGTGAGAAAGGGGTAGTATTTAGGTAGAGAATTTGAGACTTAGAGATTAAGTGACTTGCTTCAGAGGTATAGTATAGCTTCAGACAGAAGAGACATAAAGTGAAACATTCTGAGAATAATGTATATAATCAAATGTCCATCATATGTTTATGGTTAATTGACTTTATAAATTAGTGGTAGCCAGATTTTAGGTCTGTTTCCTCCTGTCATATGATATATTTCTAGAATACATCCCAAGCACCTCATTCCATGAGGAATGAAGGCTAATGTTATAAAAGACTTAATAAAAATAACAATGAATGCAAATTTATTGCTCCTTCTCCCTTTCTCTCACCTAATTAAAAAAATAACAACTGCATATAGTGTATTGTAGGGTGTTGGACTTAGAGTTAGCAAGATATGCATTTAAATTCTCCCTGAGATGTTATTTAGCTCCGTGATCCTGAGAGAGTAACATAACCTTTCTGGTTTCAGTTCCTCCCAAGTAAAATGAAGAAGTTGGGCTAAATGGCTCAGGTTCTTTCCACCTCAAAGTTCTAGGATCCTAGGATCTAAGAGGTAGAGAAATGAATGATTCAAACCCACATTCTGTGACTCCAAGTCTAGTGCTCTGTCTATTGCAAATTATCCAGACACCTGGCTTTGATGATTTTACTCACTTGATTAAGTAGACACTGGTGGTTTATAATCACAAAGATAATTTGGTTTTAAAAATAAGAATTAGATTTAAAGATAGAAGAGACTCTAAAGGCCTAATCCTACTTTTTTATTTTATAGTTGAAGAAATTAAAACCTGGAGAATTGCCCAGGGTCATACAGGTAGTGAGTGGCAAAACAGTTTTGAACCCAGTTGCTCCAATTCTAAATTCAGCTACTTTTACATGGTACCACTCTAGGCAAGGAGGATGACACAGTGGGAAAGAACACTGAATCTCAATCCTTTGGATATTTTCTGTTTTCACTTTGCCCTCTTGTTCTAATTGCTCTTCTCATCTCTGCTTCCTCCCCCCAATCCCCACTTCCTTCAAATCCCAGCTAAAATCCTACCTTCTACAGGAAGCTTTCCTTATTCCTCTTAATTCTCTCTGTTGATTATCTCCAATTTACTTTGTATATAGCTTGTCTGTACAAAATTGTTTTCATATTGTCTCCTGCATTAGACTGTGAGCTCTGAGAGCAGGGATGGTCTTTGACCCATTTTTGCATCCCCCACAGCTTAGCACAGTACCTGACACATAGCAGGTGATTAATAAAAATTTATTGATTGAGTAATATGTCTGAGAAGTTTTATTTCCTGATTTCTTAAAATATGATATCTATGCACTTAGTTGGATCATGACTTTTAGGTAGCCCAATGATTCTTTTAAAATATATTTTAATATTCTTATTTAATATTTCATTTCCACCAATTATATGCAACTTTTTAAATATTAATTTTTAAAATTTTGAGTTCCAAATTTTCTCCCTCCGTCTCTTTCCTATCCCTTCCCTGAGGTGGCAAGCAATTTGATATAAGTTATACATTGGAGTCATGCAAAGCATATTTCCACATTAATCACATTGTTTTTTAAATTTTATTTTATTTTTAATTTATGGAATAAAACAAGCATTTCCATAACAGTGTAAATAAAAATAAATAAATTAAAAAGATGATTCTGCATTAAACCATAAATTCACTATCTATAACTTCCTATTACTTTTAAATATACAACAAAGTTATTATGTAAATTTCTTTTTTTCTTTTTTTTCCCTCTCCCCCACTATATCCTAGAGATGGCCAGCAGTAGACACAAATAGGTGTACATATATGTAAAATTATTCTCTACATACTTCTATTTATGAGTTCTTTCTTTGGATGCAGATAGCATATTTCTTCATATGTCCTTCACAGTTAATTTGAGGATTTATAATAGTTAAAATGAATTATTCACTCAAAGTCATTCTTCAAACAATATTGCTATTAATGTATAGAATGTTTTCTTGGTTCTGCTCATTTTGCTCTTCATTATTTCATGCAAGTCTTTCCATGTTTTTCTAAGATCATTGAGTTTGCCATTCTTATAGTACAGTAGTATTCCATCACAATCATATACCACAACTTGTTCAGCCATTCCACAATTGATGGGTATCTCTTCAATTTCCAGGTCTTTACCACCACAAAGAGAGCTGCCTTAAACATTTTAGAACATATAAGTTCTTTTCCTTTTTCCCTTATCATCTTTGGAAATAGACCTACTAGTGGTATTGCAGTCAAAGGGTAAAAGCAGTTTAATAACTCTTTGGGCATAATTCCATTCTCTAAAACAAGGGCCAACTGTTCAGTGGCTTTCCCCAAATATGGCACCATAGGCTGAATATGACTATGAATGCAGCCTTAACAAAACAAACATAGAAGGTGGCACCTCCCTCCTACTGTACACTAAGCTTCTCTCAGTGCTGTACAAGGTGCCATCAACTCTTTTGGCTGTCACAGCACATCGCTGACTCACACTGAGCTTGTCCTCCTCTAAAAACCCCTGATCTTTCTTTTTTTTAAGTTTTATTTTAGACTTAAATACTAAAACTTAAATACACAATAGAAAAAAGAAAAAGATGCACATTATAAACTTAAATATTGAAACTGAAATGCAAAATAAGAAAAGAAAAAACATGTCACGTGCACAACAGAAGACAAGCGAGAATTCAAAATATATATCAATGTTTCCATTTCAAGAAAGATTATCTTATAAATACTATGCATTGTGTTGAGAGCTGTCAATCTTTTCTTTGCTTCCTTGTAACTTTTCTTTTGTTCTCTGTTGTGCACTTTTTACTTTGTTCTTTTTCCCCCTTCCTCCCCCCTACCCCAGAAGGCTACAATTAAGCACACACACACACACACACACACAGAGATATCTAGATCTATCTATCTATCTATCTATCTATCTATCTATCTATCTATCTATATCCATATATATATATATATATATACACATACATACATACATATATACGCACACACACACATACATACATAAACATATACCTTCCCTAACGAATTCTTCTCCTGGTCTTTGTTTTCATGTTTATATGTCTCTTATTTTCTATCCCTTCTGACTCCTCTACTTTACTTTTACCCACTACCTTGCGTCCTATCTCTTAACCTCCTCCTCTCCAAGGATTCCTCCCTTATCCTCTCATTCCCATTGATCTAAACACCTTACTATACCCACCTTTAACACATTCCCTCACTATTCCCTCTAGAGATCTCTCCCTTATCCTCTTCCCCCTCCCTATCCCTTAGCATTTTATTTCTTTCTGAATTTAGAGGACTTTTATACTCTTCTAGATAATATATATGTCATTCCTTCTTGAGCCTATTCCTGATGAAAGTAGGTTTCTAGAACTAATAGCTCTCCACCCCCATCTAATTCTTCTGTGTTGGTTCTTACTGTTAAAACTAGTTTGTATAATTATTCTTACTCTAAACAATTTTACTTTTTAAATCATATCATACTCAGGTCTATCCAAATCTTTCTTATGAACTACCCAATTACTAATAACAATCAGACATAAGTTTTACATTCCATATACATGAAAGATAAATGATCTGTACTTAGTGAATTCTTTGTAATTAGTCTTTCACATGTATCTTATATTTCTCTTGGCTCTTGTATGCCAAATCTTCTATTAAGTTCAGGTTATTTTTAGAAAACAAAGTCCTGAAAGTTCTGACAGTTCATTAAATGTCCTTTTTTTTTCATTCAGGATTATGCTTAAAACCCCTGATCTTTCACACACCACCTGGAGTATGCCTATGACTCCCACATCCTGTTCTGTACATTTTTTAAAAAATTAAAACACGTGACTTCCTATTTATTCTCACAAAATTTCATCTTATGAAATTTACTGTCATTTTACTGTCAGAGTTTGTTAAGATCACTTTGAATCTTACTCAATTCATTGAGCATATTTGCTAACCCTTTGAGTTTCATTTGAAGACTTGATAAGCATGTCTTCTACATCTCTGTCAAAGACATTGATTGAAAAACAAACAAACGAATGGCTGAACAGAATAGCTCCAACATCAAAGCCTTGGGCCTTTTTGCTACACACGTTTCTGCATATTTATACTATCATTAATTCTTTGGGTTTGATAATTAGACACCTTCTAAATCCACTTGACTATAATCCAGCTGGCACTGGCCCATCTTGTAGACTAGCACAGCATGACAGCCTCTGTCAGATGCCTCACTGAACAACAGATGTATCATGGTATCCCTCTGATCTACCAGGCTAGTAAGCCTATGGATAAAAAGAAATCAGATTGTTTCGGAATGATTTATTCTTGAAACATACATACTGCATTAGAAAGATCACTACTTCCCCTTTAGCAATTCATTCTAGAAATTTTCTAGAAAGCAAAGTTAAGCTTCTAGAACTATCTTTAGGTTGAGAAATCTACATTCTTTGCCTTTTTGAATACTGCACCATTTGCCTATCTGCATTAACTGATTGATTAAATTTGAGTGTAGACTATGTGGAGGCAAGAATACAAGCTAAGGCTAGAAACAGGGTAGTGAAAGATTGTGTGGGAACTTAAATTCTAAACAAAGGACTTTGAACTTAGTTGAAAGGCAGTAGTAAGGCATGGTGCATCTTGAGCAAATGATTTGTGTGATATGAAAAGAAATAGGTTAATACAGTTAGAAGCAGGATTTATACCAGACAGTGATACAGTAATAATGTGGTACTAATATGCATTCATGTATTGGGATTTGTAACATCATTAAATGTATTTACTTATTTGTTGCTTAAAAGAAAATACATAGCACACTATCTAATTGATGAGGGGTAGCTACAAGAAAAGCACATCATAATTATAACAATAGCTGCCTTTAATATATAATTTAAAATTTTTCGAAGTGCTTAAAGGCTATCTCATTTGAATCTCACAAACTTGTGAAGTGGGTACTGGAGATAATGCTATTGTAACAAGTTAACTGTAGTTTTCCTCCAACTTTCACTCACATTCATAGATTGGTTCCCCAAAGGGTGGCTGATACTTCAGTTTGTAGTATATTTTTTTAGTCCCTACCAGTGTGCTTTCCATTAACAGTCATCCATTTGATGTAATTAGATCTTAGCCAAGGCATTTACTAAGCTGGATTCATAAGAACACTTGTTACAAAATATTCCTTCCGTAAACCTGGAATATTTTCTCCTACAAATGTACACAGGGAATACGAATAAAAGGGAAGAGTTGCCATTGACCTAAAGTTCAATGGGAGGGATGAAAGTATGATTCATGTGTTGTAAGGCAACAATCATTGGAAGCCCCATGTATCTCTGTTGAGTTCTCATGCTGACTTCAGTGTCTGCCTTTCCTCAGCTTGACTCAACTGAAATGGATCCTTCTTGAAACTTCTTTCTCCCTTACATAAGGATCTCTCTGAATTTGTTACTATCATCACTGTGTAGCTTTCAATGTCCCTCTATCTTGAAATCTAAAAGTCCTCAAGGGTTTAGACATTTTAAAATACTCCTACAGGTGTGGCTATCCTTATTTGATCAACCAAATTCATTGTTTCCTTTTCAACTGAATCAAAGAAGTCTTGGCACCAGGTAAATGCATCAGGACATAGATGGATCTCTGTGGTTAGTTTAAAAACTCATTAATACCTTGTGATTGCTTTCTGGGTCTTCTGTGACTATAACAGCTGAGATGGAGAGGGGAACGCCTTCCTTTACTTTGTCTCCATATAACAGATGAAGAAGCTGAGAGACAGAAAAGTTAAGTGACTTGCCAATGATAGTGTACCTAGTAAGTATGGGAGCTAAGATTCAAGCGCAAATACCTCCAGCACTTTGTCCACTATTCCTCACTCTATCTTTTATAAGCTGAAAAGTGATAAAGTATTAGGAACCACTACAATCACTCCTAGCTCCAGACTGGGCCCTTGGAGCCCCTAGGTGACAATGGTGGGTGGGACTGATACAAAGAGCCCAGGACA